AAGCTGGGAATAGTATCACAGACCACAATCGTATCAGAACTGGTTGACTCGTCATCGCGATCGTGACAGCGACAGTGGGTTTATGGTTTCCTCAAATCAGAGGTCCCGTATTCCGGGTCTGCGTGTTAATGCAACTTCACATGGATCAAACCCCTGACCGAAACCCCAAACCCCAAACCCTANNACCCTAAACCCTAAACCCAGCCTTGAAGCAAAAAACTCTGCGGGCACCTTCTGCTGACCGAAGTCGAATCGCGAGCCTTTGTGATTTCTGAGGCAGGGTGAGAGGAGGCGTTCTAAGGTGTCTACGTGGATACGTGGACTCTACCGGGTGTTGTAGCCCTGGACAGAGGTTGTCAAGCTCCGATTGGTCTTTTGATAACAAACAGATGAGACGCACTTTAACCCTATACCCTGAGCCCCGAAACCCCTGAACCCCTAAATAAACCCCTAAACCCCAAAACCGCTGGAGCCCTAAACCCCGAAACTCTAAACTCTAAAACCCTAAAACCCTAAACCCCTAAACCCCTTCACCCCTTCACCCCGAAATCCTAAACCCCAAAACCTTAAACCCTGAACGTTTAGTGGTTTAGGGGCTTAGGGTTTACGGTTTGGGGTTTAGGGGTTTGAGTTTAGGTTTTTTTTATTGCAGCTCTAGATGGGGTTTTATCAGGTTTAGGGTGTAGGATTTGGGGTCTAAGGTATACCTTAACTCCAGGCATTAAGGACTTATAAGAGGATGTCAGGATAAAACAAACCTGAAAATGCAGGGTTTCGGGTTTAGGGTATAGGGTGTAGGATTGGGGTTTCCGGTCGAATGCCTAGGGGTCGAGTGATGGCTGCAGGCTGAAGCTTTACACATTCAGCCCCCACAGGTTCTATAATTGGGTTCTACAAAAGGGATCTTGTTTGCGTTAGAATCTGGTTCTACTGCTTAACCTATTCTTTGTATGCTCGTCTTCGTCAGTTTTTGCTTGATTACGACTGGTATTACGACCTTGCCGCTGTTGCGGTTGTTGCTAAGCCCGAAACCTTCAACCACAACCCTACAACCGACACCCGACATCCTAAACCATCATGCCGAAAAGGGAAGCCGCAAAAAGACCCGGATATGCTGAGGCAGCTTGTTCCAAAAAGCAATCCTCTGGTGGTTGCGTCGGCGCAGAGAGTCCCAAAACCCCTTCATTAGGAAAGCCGATGGGTTTTTCGTATTTTGCAAGGTGAAGTAGGGCTTGCTTCATAACAGGAATCTAGGGGTTCATACATCGTATGCATTCTAGGAAGGCTTCCTTCAGTAAGAAATCTAAGGAGTCATGGTACAGTCTGGGGTTTGGTTGGGGCCTCAGGAGGCATGCTAGCTAGGGAATTAAACTCAAATCATATTACGGTTTCGGAGCCCCTAGCACCTAAACCCTAAACCCTAATTGCTTGATGAAGGGGGTTGTGGCGTCTCTGGGTCCTGCAAGCGAAAAGAACATTAAGCCATCGTCTCCAATGGAGTCCTTTTGTTAGGAGTATGGTATCTGGTTTAGGGATTCGGGTCTTACAACAAAAGGCACTACAATGGAGACCATAGCATCCGGTGATATATTCATATCACCACCAAACCGGTGGTGGAAGAGTATCTGTGACATTCAGCAAATTGGCAAAGGAGCACTAGACGTGCATGCCAAAGGAAAGGAGATGTGCAGCAAGGTTCCCCAGTGACCGATTGAAAGACAAGGGTATGAATTTCCTGCTGGAATAAGGAGACCCCAGACATAAACATAGCACGTACTGGGGGACCGAGGCAGAAACCTGCTGCGAAGAAATGCTTCCAGTAAACAATGCCTTTCCCACATACATTCCTTTTTGAACCCTCAAAGGAACCTTTAAACCCTAAACCCTAAACTCTAAACCCCCACACTTGGCCCTAAACCCCTAAACCCCCAAACCCTAAACCCCTAAACCCCCAAACCCTGAACCCCTAAACCCTGAACTCCGACCCCCTCTACGAAGCAGCTGGTTTCTGCTCAGTGAGCTCGTGGCAGGGCGGCCCGTTCGTTCGGGACCAAGGAAAGGGCTAGAATAAGGGTTACAATAAGGATTACTATATGGGTACTTTCGTGTTTTCGGGTTCGGGTTCAGGAGTTAGCATTTAGGGGATCAGGGCAAAGGCAAAGGGTTTGAGTCCGGGTCGCTGTGGGAGTGCGCTTTCTTAGTTGTTGTTATGGCTTCTATAATCCTTAACGTTACCGTTATCGAATCGGCTTGTATAATTTATATGGACATGCGTTCATGTGCGTATATGTATGTATGTATGTATGTATGTATGTATGTATGTATGTATGTATGTATATGTGCTTGTATGCAAGCCTTTCTATATATCCACTTGCATGCATGTATACATGTAGCGTGTCTATGTGTCTAATGGCACTCCCAAGTA